ATGAAGAAACATTATTTAATCGAAGAAGTCGAAAAGAAAAATCTTCAATTTTACCAATCAGAAAACAATAAAGGACTTTGCAGTGATATATTTACTTCTCGATATTAATGTTAGGAAAAAATTTTGTTTTACATTAATAAATTTTCAAGAGATACTGAATTTTAGTTATTTTTTGAGTGATACAGTGTTCGATCTTATATTTTCGAGACAGCTGTAAAGAGTTAGTTTGTTGTACATAGAAATCGATGTATCTATCGAACGAATTATCTTATTGAATGGAGTTTCACTCGTTTAACATTATCGAAAACTCAGTAGTAAGAGTTAAGAACTATTTGGAATCGGCTAACAAAAATTCGTATGATTTCACGTAGGTTCATGATATAGTGTCCTATGGCTTGCTTAGTATTTTGCACGAGTTGATTTCAACAAATGCGAGTGAACTTGTAATAATTCTAGCAGATCTTTTCAATGCACTCATATATTTATTTTGGAACAACCGAGAAAAAAAATCAGTATAAAAAGAAAATGAAGGAGTTTTATATATCTAGAATGCATCTACTGCAATACCACATAAATGTGTAAACGAGAGAGAAATAGAGAAATACAGTGGTGTGATGAAGGGGAAAAAGTAGGAGGGGACAGTGCAAAAAACTTCGAAAGCTAAAAAGTGTATATACAACTATTTAAGAGTGGAAAAGCGCTGAGATAATAAGAGACTTCATAGTCCAATGAAAGTCAGGATAAATTTCATCGTTCGATAGTCGATCATATAAGTTTTTCTCGATCGCAGTAAGTGACTTTTTCATGTTTCAATAGATTCATGGTATGTTTGGAAATTTTTTTAAAGCTTTAATGAACAATTCTTGGTCTACTTCTATTTTATCGATGAATCATTTAATATTAATCAGTGTGCTAGACAGATTTGGATACTTAACCTACAGTTCGTCATGGTCACAGTCTTGGACGACATTGTACCATTTAGGAACACTTAATACATAAACACATCAATGATGATCAATATTACTCGATCTGGTGACGTACATTTTATAATCAGATTGCAAATAAGATTGAGCATGTTTCAAATTAGCAATAAGTCGATCATTATCACAAAACAGAGCGACTTTATCTTTAATCATTTGTCTTATACCGTCAAATGCTCGTTCAGCTTTAGATGTAATGCAATTGATATCTTATAAAAACTTCCTTGTGTTTCGCTACAAATTTTGAGAATAGTACATCAGTACACATTTATAATGAAATAATAAAATAAAAAAAGTGAACGGTTTTATGATGATCAAACTATAATACAACTCCGGTGCTATGAAAGATACATTCGATCTAACAATACATTTTGCCAAGTCAAGTTATTTATATCGGACACGAAATGATAAGTTTTTATAAGACGTTGTTAAATTAGCTTTTTTTTATTCCCATAAGTAGACAGACACTGTTCAAAATTGCTCTTTGTTCATTCATCATTTTTTTTACCAATTGAGGAGTTAAAAGGTGGATAATTTCAAACACTTTGAACCTCCACGCAATCTTCTACACAACATATTAACTCAGAATCAAACCAACACTCAAAGATATCGTTATGAACCTTTTTTTTTATGTCGCCAGTTATTCTCGAAAGTCTTATTGGCGAAGTTCCAGATTCCCGAAAAGAAAAGATCGAAAATATTAACAAACAATGTGGGCAGTTTGTCGAAGTGACCGTCAAGTATTGATTTCGAAAGATACAAACTAGAGAATATTCATGTGAACACGAATAAAAAACTTATTCATTCATAAGTCTATCATCTGTAATGCGCTCAAGGATACTAATAGATTGATCTATACTATGAGTCTCGATGCTGTTAATATCAAAATCTATTATTATGCTTTTATGAATTTTTTTATCTGATGACGAATTATTTTAACTAAGTTAATATAAATATTAATATAGAAAAATGAGTTGAAAAACACGAGTAACATCCACATTTAAAATGAATTTTTTTTTTCTTTTGATATTTCAAAGTATTACTCTCTTTATATTTTTTATTTTGCTATTTATTCGAAATATTTTACTCTCAATCCTACTCATAGTTATATGTTGTTTTATGAAAGAAGGATCTACAGAATATCACTTAAAATTCAATAAAAAAAAGTGAATTAATATCTGTTTATAACTTGATAATTAAAAAAATAAAATAAAATTCAGATTTCTTATCAGCAAAATGTATGGTTAATTTTTTGTGTATGACAAACATATCGAGTGGATGTAGATAGAGATGGTCACTTTTATGAAGTAAACGTTTTTTTAGATGCTGACTCGAGCTTGAGTCATTGAATTTTGTTATGAATTTCAACCAATATTTTAAGAAATAACAAATCAAGCAGTTTATTAGGTCATGTTGCCATAAGATCAATTTATTTCACTTGTGTTAGTTTTATAGTAAAAACTCGATCATATACAATGTAATTGAGCCGCATGTTTATATCCAATAATGAATAAAGTGCTTTAATGTTATCCTTTTTTGTTTTAAAATTATCATATTTATTTCTACCAGTTAATTCATTAATTGAACAAATAAAAGTTCAATATTCATTTTCACTTTCAATTCTTCTTAGTTTAAATATATGAATATAGATATACTGTTCTATATCAAATGACCGTTATCATCAATGAAAATAATGTTCTTTAGTCGAAACCCACTATGAATAAATGAAAACACTGTTTCTCTTTCATGACTATTTATAATTCTTATATACTGAAAATTAGTATCTCTATTCATAGTAAAGTGCAAATTAGTTACATACATCAAAATATTGTCCCTGTCATCCTACTTTCGGTGGGTGATAATTGAAAATTAGGTTTTTAAACATTATTTCAAAACAGGATATTTCTTGTTTATACTCATCATGTCCATATCGATTCAGTTGATGATGATTATTTTTTAAACTATTAAAATTATAAAAAAAAAAAAATGAAGTGTTTTGTAGAATTCATTTGTGTATATCAAATATTACAACTATTGATTATAAATTGCAAATGAGGTGTTGTGGTCGTTCTATGTGCCTCCCCCACCATTGATTAGGTGAGAAAACAAGTATTGCCTCTAATGCAAAAGCAAGAGAAGCAAAAAAAAAGGTAATTTTTATTTTCAAACACTCAAAGTGTGTGAAGTGACGCGTGATAAATATATATTGAATGATTTTTATCGACATCAACACAAAATAATGTCAATCACAGATAGTAATATGAAAATCGAAACCTTGGCTTGGATAACTGATGATGAAGCTGAATTTTGGACAGTGAGTATTAAATAAAACATATCTTTTTTTTTTTGTTTATCATTGTTGATTTTATTTAGAGTACATCACCTAGAGAAACAAAGAAAACGTTTAAACATTTTTCAACATCAAAAGTTTTTCCTTCAGATGTTTCTTCATCTAATAGTCTTCAAAATGAAACAAATAAACAATTAAATTCGCAAAACGAAGATCCTTTGTCATTATCATATAAACAACTGATTGAAAAACAAGCGAAAGAAGTGTCAGAAAATGCTGAAAAAACTCGAGTTTTTGAGAAATTTCAATTAGAGGAAAATGTACCCGGAATAAATATGAGCTTTCTTGATCGATTATTTCGTTTATCCAGAAGACCACATATTACAGACATCAATTATATAGACGATGAAGTCTTTGCAGATATTGATGAAAGTGAAATAACAGCTGTGATGAATGGTGATACACATATGGATGTATCATCTAATGTTGAAAATAAATTTATGAATAATCTTAAATCATTTATTGATGAATTAAGTGAAGAAAAAGATGTTATTATGGGAACAATTGATGAAGATACATTATTTAATCGGAGATGTCAAAAAGTGAAATCTTTACCTTTATCAATAAAAAACGATGAAATATTATTTAGTCGAACATTTTTTTGACGTTAATTTAATAAACGAAAAATGATTTTATATTATTAAACATTTAAAAGATGTTCAATTTTGTTATATTCATACTCATATGATGTTCAATTTCCTTTTTTTTGTAGACACAATTGTTGACAGTTTGTTTTCTTCGCATAGAAACCGATATATCTTATTGAGTAGAGTTTTACTCGTTTAGAATTACTGAAAATTTATTTATAAGATTGAAAAACTATTGTGAATCAATTAATAAAAGGATCTTATGATTTCTAAAGAATAAATTGATTTCAATAAACAAATGTCAGTTTGTAATAATTGAAGCAGTTCTCTTTAATTGGCTCATATATTCATATGAAAACAATTGAAGAAAAAAGTTTACTGTAATGACAAACTGAAGGAGAAACTAACCGTCATTATTGCTAATGATGTCTATTGAGTTACTTCGTATCGTTAAAATGTATCTCAATTTATCAAAGTCCGACGCAGATTAAATCGGGTCCCATCTATAGTATAAACATATAAAAGTTCTGCTCAATGACGTGACAACATTTACTAGAACAAGAAGTTTTGTACCGTGCGCTTTCTTCTACTACTTCACTGACTTTTCTTTCTGGACTCCGGATAATCATCCATAGCACACATATTGTCTGTTCAATGGTAATATAGACTTTTGGAGTTGTATATAAAAGAAAAGACAAAGAAAAATAAATTTTCATCACAATGTCCTGCTGCATTACCCAGAGTCCGACTTGGGCCAGGGTTGGAACCGGTCCGACCGGACCGGTTGAAGAAATCAACCGGGCCGGTAAAGACCGGAATTTCACCGGTTGAAATTTTTCAAAAATCTTCTTTGTTAATTCTGTCTTTGACCATAAAAACTAAGGTATCACATGTTTTTTCTGTCAGAATAGGTAAAAAAGTGCTCAAAACATATGTTATATTAATCGTTTTTCCTGAGGTTCTTTTTAAAAAGATTCATTATGATGAGCGTCTTTTACATGCGCCTTAAAGTATTTCATATTTGGAGCGATTTTTTCTAAAAATCGGTTTTCAAAAAAAAAATTCGACATTTTTCCACCGGTTTTCACCGGAATTTCACCGGTTGGGCATGTGATTCCAACCGGCCGTACCGGACCGTTTTAATATTTCTCAACCGGTTCCACCCCTGACTCGGGCTGTATCACGAAAGGAATCTTTCAGCTTGAATTCAGCTGAAAAAAATACGATATAGAAAAAATAAAAAATTCATATGATTTTCTTTTCTTTCACAAATATAATTCGATTATTTTATATTCTTATGTAAAATACTTATCTTTATGAAAACTCGAAGAATTTCTCAATTCAACAATATTCTTTTTCTTTTAGTAAATATTCAAATATTTTCAATAGATCACTGATTGGCTATATCTGATTCTATTTGAATGTTGGTTCAACTCCTGTTGATTTTAATGATACAAAAAAAAAGGCATCAACTGAATAAAGGAATGAAAGATAATTCATCACTATCATCTAAACAATTAATTAAAAAAGAACTGAAAGAAATTTAAGAAAAAGCTCAATAAAACTAAATATCTGAAAAATTTCAATCAATTGAAAATAATAAAGACCATTTCGATTTATATGAGTTGACTTCGACAAATCATTTCGTATAAATAATCAATTGATTAACTATTGGCGCGATATTTTTCTAATTAAAAACTATAAAATAGAAAATACATCATAAATAAAGAATGCGTGAGATCGTTCATATTCAAGTTGGTCAATGTGGAAAGTGCGTCAAAAAAAAAAAAAACAATATTTTTTTTTTTAAAATTTTTATGAAAATTATTTTAGTCAAATGGGAACAAAATTTTGGGAAGTTATATCTGATGAACATGGCATTGATCCAACAGGTACTTATCATGGAGATTCGGATCTTCAATTAGAACGTATTAATGTTTATTATAATGAAGCAACTGGTTAGTTCATGCAAAAAATGTCTAAACACAAAAAGAAAAAAAGAATTTTTCTTTTTTTCAATTAATCTCTTCTATTTCAGGTGGTAAATATGTACCACGTTGTATTCTTGTTGATTTGGAACCAGGTACAATGGATGCAGTTCGTGCTGGTCCATATGGACAATTATTTCGACCAGATAATTTTGTTTTTGGTCAATCAGGTGCTGGAAATAATTGGGCTAAAGGACATTATACTGAAGGTGCTGAAATAGTTGATTCTGTTCTTGATGTTGTACGTAAAGAAGCTGAAGCATGTGATTGTTTACAAGGTTTTCAATTAATTCATTCATTGGGTGGTGGTTGTGGTTCAGGACTTGGTACACTTCTTATTGCAAAAATACGTGAAGAATATCCTGATCGTATTATGTTAACTTATTCAGTTGTCCCATCACCGAAAGTTTCTGATACAGGTTATTAAATAATTATTATTTTTCTATTTGTTGATTAGTTTTATTTTTCTATATTTAGTTATTGAACCATATAATTGTGTTTTATCAGCACATCAATTATTAGAAAATTCTGATGAAACATTTTGTATTGATAATGAAGCATTGTATGATATTTGTTTTCGAACACTTAAATTAACAACACCAACATTTGGAGATCTTAATCATTTAGCTGTAACTGCTTTATGTGGAGCTACAACTTGTTTAAGATTTCCAGGTTTATTTATAAAAAACAACAAAACGAAAATAATCTTATTGTAAAACGATATAATTTAAGGTCAATTGAATGCTGATTTAAGAAAATTAGCAACAAATATGGTACCTTTTCCTCGTTTACATTTTTTTATACCTGGTTTTGCTCCATTAACATCACGTGGTAATCAACCTTATCGAGCTGTAACAGTACCTGAACTTGTTCAACAAATATTTGATGCAAAAAATCTCATGGCTGCTTGTGATCCACGTCATGGAAAATATGTAAAAAAAAAACCAATCTGATTTTTCTTGAATTTAATTATTTAGTTTTGACTATTTTTTTTGTTTGAAAATATTTTGTTAGTTAACAGCAGCTGTTGTATTTCGTGGTCGAATGTCAATGCGTGAAGTTGAAGAACAAATGTTAAATGTAAAAGAAAAAAATAATTCATATTTTGCTGAATGGATTCCAGATAATCTTAAAACAGCTGTATGTGATATTCCACCTCGTGGTCTTAAAATGTCAGCAACATTTATTGGTACGATTTTAAATAATATTTATTAACTTGTTAGTTACTTCTTTTTTTTTTTTTGTTTTGAGCAAATACAACAGCTATGATTGATTTATGGAAACGTGTAGCTGAACAATTTACAGCTATGTTTCGTCGAAAAGCTTTTCTTCATTGGTATACTGGTGAAGGAATGGATGAAATTGTTTGTTTAATTTTGTTTTTTTTTTATTTTCTAAAAAATTTTTTCTTTTAATTATAGGAATTTACTGAAGCTGAATCAAATATGAATGATCTTGTTAGTGAATATCAACAATATCAAGAAGCAGTTATTGATGCTGAAGGTGATGAAGAAAATGATGAAGATGCTGGTGATCTTGAAACAAAATAAAAAACTACTCAAACTAAAAAAAAAAATCATGTTTGTTTTGTTATAAATTATATTTGAAAAGAAATATTTATTGTTTTCTGAATCTCTTATATTTATATATAACATGTAAAAATGACTTCAACTTACTGATCTATTATTCAATAGATAAAAATAAAATAGATTACTCAATTGATGATACAATAAAAAAAAAGAAAATTGAATATAATTGCTTTTATTATTTCGAAATTCTTCTCTATTCCACTCTTGATTTGACCTCTTGGTGTCATCAGTAAATATCTTTTAATTCATTTCGGTTTTTCTTTTTTTGTTTCTATAAATAATTTTTATCTGTTATATTCGATTCTAAAAATCTATTTTTCTTTTAATATAATACAAATAATTAAAAAAAAAATTAAAGATAAGTATAATATGATATTGGTGTTGATCGATTACTATTCGTTGTTGGAGTATCTATATGTTCTTTTTGTAAATCATCAACTAGTTGAGATACAGTAGCTATTTTAGTTTCTGATCTTGTTGATGAATGAATTGATCGTCGAGCAAGTAAATAAATTCGTGAATCAACAGTGACATGCCAAGAAAAATAACGGTGTTGTCTTATTAACCATAGACCATATACAACTGCACATAAAACAATAAGAAAACAAAAAAGTGCTATTAATGATAAAAACCATCCAATATTTTTTTGATTAACAAAAGAAAATGAAGATCTAGTAATTAGTTCTTGAATGAATGTTATTGGTGTTGATTCATCTATTAAATATTGTTGTGTAATTGTAAATTGATCATTAGTTATTAAAGTACTCGAAAGATTAGAATCTTCACTAGTTAATGTCATTAAATCATCTTCTAATGTTGATCGACGTGCACTTATATCAGGAGAAGGTGTTGGAACTAGATTATATTTATATATAATTTAGTTATTTTGTTATTAAATATTTACCTGAACGTTGTTTTGGACAAGGTCCTTTCCAATCAATATTTAAATTTGATAAGATAAGACTATCGATTTGTGAATTACGAAATAAAATTCGTGTTTCAATTGATAACTAAAATTTAACAAAGACAAATACATATATATTTATATAATATTGTTTACATTTTTTATTTTCGATTTTAATGAATGTTCAATACGTAAAGTTTTACTAGTCAATTGAATTTTTTGTGAAGTATTTTCATGTTCACGATCTTCTATAATCCATAACTGACCCACTTAAATTAAATATTATATTGATTTGCAAATTTTGTTATTTATTTATTTTTTTTACCTGGTTGACCACGTGTTCGAAGAGTAAAAGAAAGACAACCACTGGTAAGACTTGATAATGTACCATTATATTTCAATTTAACAGAACACATTCGACGAACACATTGAGGTTTAGCTGATAGAATATAAGTTGCACCATGCCATGCAGAACCTAATCAATTCATAGATAGACATTTACAAGTTACAGTAATATTAGATAAAATTCAAATACCGCTTGTATGTTTCCAAAATAAAACCGAGCTATAAGGATCTCGTACATGACTTTGATTAATATTAAACCATTGTTGTTGAATTGTTATTTGACTTTCTTCTGATGATATTGTATAATCAAAATTAGTCGTAGGCAAAAATGAAGATAATGACGAATTATCATGATCAAATAATGATGGCCATGTTTGACTCTCAAATGTTGCATTAGATAAAATATTTTCAGGAATAATAGTTGAAAAGTTGATTTTATTAATATCGAATAGACTTGTTAAAAGATCATTTGATGTTTGTAGAAAAATTGTTCTATCACTTTCATTTATCATTTGAGTTACCATATTTAAATCATTGATTATTGATGAATTTTCATTTGATATTAATCCATCATCAATATTTATACCTGAATAAGATTATTATTTATATATTTTAATTCTCAACTAGGATTCTTTAAATTACCTTGAACAGTAAATAAAATTGAAAAGATGATGATGATCTTCATTTTCTTGTTCTATTATGTAATGTTCACCGTTTTCATTCCATTTTGACATATAGTACTCATTAGAACAACTGTTTCAATCATTTCTTTTTTTTTTGTTTCTAAGACAAGTAACGACCTTGTTTAAAATACGAAACATATGCTATACAATATATATTTTAAAAAAAAAACGAAGAAGGAAACGATAGAAACGAAAAAAAGAAGTCGTGTCCCTTTTTCTTTTTTGTTTATTCATGGAGTCCATTCAAGTAAAGCAACTCCTTGTCCATCAAGAAATGAATTTGTTAAAATTCGAATCCAATCGACAAGCCACCATATACCAAGACCACCAAGAGTTAATAATTTAAAAACTCCAGCTGCAATATAACCACCATTACCAACACTTAAATAAAACCAATCAGCACCAAAACCACCAGTAAAAAATGAAAGAAGAAATGCTGCTAATTTAGATTTTTGTTGATAAGTACATCGTTCTAATCCATCTCGTGAAAATGTCCAACCACGATTACACATGCATACAGCAGTTGTTTTGTTTGTATCACATATTCCTTGAACACAATCACTATTTCTTGTACAGGGATTAGCTGCTCGTGATGATGGATTCGGTTGAGCTGTTGTTATTGATATTGTAATGGAAAGAAGTACAACGATAGTTATCATCATTCTTGTTTTTTTTAAGATATTCTTAAGTATCTTCTGTCTCTATTAAGAATGAAAAAATAATGATTGGAATAGTATTCATATACTATTCACCTACTCAAATAAAAATATATTTTCATTGCAAATATCATTATTTGTTACATTAAAAAAGAAAATCATTGCACAAATAATGAATTAGTCTTTTTTCATTTATAATGATAGAATGTATTTCATTCGTTCGATTGATATTATCCAGAGATAAATATTGATATAACTAATGTAAAAGAATAAAAGCATCATGTTAAATATGATAAGAAATATTATTTACTTATATGAACATAAATCTGTAAGAACAAAATACTTGAACAATTAGTTCAATATTATAATTATCTGTATGATAATAAAAATAATAAATATTATATGTTTTGCAATTCGATATTATCTTGTATTCAAATATTATTATTGACATATTGAATCTCGTATTTAAAGTATTTGTGTACATATATAATATTTGCCATGATCAACAGATTTTAAAAGTTCTTACAAATATATATTTTATTTTTCAACTATTGTTGCATGTAGATGAGAGTAGGATAGTTAAGTATATATTACATCATGAACAACGATCAGAAAAGATTGTTGCGTCTGAAAAAGAAACTAAATTACGTTCTCATGATCACACCAAAGTAAGCTGATGAAAGAACAACCGTTTAACTACATTAAATTCCAGATAATACTTATTTTTAGAGATTTTCATCAATCAACGGCAAAGTCATTAAGTTTGAGAATACTCAGATATTTAAGAAAATTTTCCATATATCATTCTATGTTTACATTCATTTAGTAAAGACTGTTCGAACGAGAATTTAACTCATCTTTTTCTGAAGTTCACGTTGATCCGAATGTCACATGACAGTTGGGTACACTAGTCGCTTTTGACTAATAGACGTTTGTCGAAGACTAAAGTTATTCTAAAGTGCTGACTAGTTATATATAAGTCTCATACATTGTTCACTATTATAACATAATGAGAAATGTTGAGTCAAATAGAATCGAACAAACAGTTTCTTATTAAATACAATTGGAAATAATTAAAACAACATTATTTTTATTTCAACAAGTTCATTTTAGTCTCTAATCGAAAATATATGTCTAGTTTGTCAGAATTCGTAACTAAAAATCAATCTAGACTGAATTAAAAATTATTAAACATTATTTTGAATTTGACTTAATTGATGATTTCATAAATATTTTTTCTCCTAAACTGTATAATTAGTTTGTTTAAACAAATGTATCAAAGTTTTAATTGCTTCTTATGACATTCACTTTTTTCCTTCACATTTTGACGTACTGATTGAAATTGTACCGATTTCGATAAGAATCGAACTATGAGAATCTTTGCTCCATACGTGATCTATTTATAATATAGACAATATTCATGTCAAACAAAAGTGGATAGTTTAAATAACTGACAAAAAAAATCATCATTATGCGACACTCTATCATAAACTGTTAAATAGAATAATCATCTGATTATCGTCAACCCATTTATGTGTTGCATATGAAAGAACAAGTTCAACTTAATCATGTTGTATCAATTATTAAAGTCAACCGCATTATTTTTGACCAAGAGCATAGGAAACAACAATCAAATCGGTACCGATGATTTATTAGTCAATCGATCTATTTTCAGTCATTTCAAACTCGACAAGTAAAAATCATTTGTAATAATAGTAGATATTCATACTGATCTCTCAAACCGGCAGAATTCTAATTTCTTTATTATTATATAAAATAATGTTTAAAAAAAAAGAATCTTGATTACAATTGAATCGGTTTTTGATCAACACCTCCATTATTTCGATAGAATTCATTTCTAACATGAGCAATTCGAACATGTGACCGATCATTAATATCAAGTGGCTGATTATGTCGACGACCATATTCTGATGATGAACGAGTTGGATAAGATTTTTCTTCTTCCTATAAGACAAAAAATATATTTATTTGAAATAAATTCAAATGAATATAATCAAACCTCTTTTGATTGATTTAATCCAATAAATTTTGAATGTTGTCGATCATCACGATGTGCTTTGGGATTAAAATCATATTTTATTTGAAAGATTTGATCATAAATTGACGATGGTTTTGTCTAATATAAATAAGTGTTTTTTATTTTTATTTTATTGCTATTATAAATATAATTACTTCTTTATGTGAATTGAAATAATTTCTTTCTTTTGGTTGTGTTCGTCTTGTTGGTGGAACAAATGCAGCTGCCGATAATTCGCATGTATACCCGTTTAAATCAAATGTATCATATTCAGTTTCAACATGAATTTGTTTTGAAGTGGTGGAAGACATTATCGAAAGTGATTACAAATATTGTTTTTAACATTGATCTTCGATCATGCGTCGCTTAGAAACGACACCTATGATGAAGGACATAAATTCTTTTGTTTGTTAATGTATATTGATAAGAATTCTAATCGATAGAGAGCTTTACTATATGACAGCTGATAAATGTTTTCTTTTTTTTTGAGTAGTCATCAACGATAAGTAATTCTCACGGAATTCTTTTTATCTATTTAAATTCTATTTTTACTTCTTTTTTTCTATTACTTAGAAGAGCATCGAAATAAGATGAAAGACATTGATCTATGAAGTTTAAATAGATATTGAATGTAATAACAGTTGGTACTCAACATAAAATATTTCCATCTTCGGTACAGAAGAATTTCTCTAACAATGAAAGTAATAATTAGATTTTTCGCAAAGTAGTAGCAAATCTAAGAATCTATAATGGAAAGCGATCATGATTATAAAACGTTGGTTTTGAGTTCAGTAGAGGACGTGTATTGGTAGGAAAAAGATTCATAGCCACATCCACATTTATTTAAAAATATATAAATAAATGTTAAAGAAAGATAGATCAATGGAATTCCAAACAATGCTGTGAAACAAACAATTTAACCATTATATTACTTTTGGAAAAGCAAGATCTGATATTAATGCATAAAAGAAGTAATAGTGATCTTATTTGATACAAATTGTAAATGAAGAAACATATTTCAGCTCATATCGTACATGTCGCGAGTGTTTCGATGTTCTTATCAAGCACTCTCTTTTGTAAATTGTGATTTCTTGAACCAATCAATCAAACCAACAGCAAGTAAATACTAAAATCGCAGCAACATTGAGTTTAATTCTTTGACCAGCATTAAAATTCAAACTAAGTTTATATGCTCTTTTCTAATAATAAAAGAAATATCTTGTATTATATCTTTACGCATAGACTTCCTTATTTCTATTAGATACAATGTTTTAATTGAATATTTAGCAAATAATAACATCTATTAAAATCGTGTATAATTGTTGCTGAATTCTTTGCTTTTTAGTTAATCTGGCAGACCAACGTGATCACAAGTCCGCATATTTTCGTCATCGCAACATATAGATGATCAGAGTTGATCATTTCAGTTTTGGAGTAGTTGTAATAAGCAATTTTTTTACTAGTGTGAAGATGAGAATACCTCTTTTATCTTTACACATATCGATGTACATGTCATAAACGACAACATATAAAGAGTGAAGACATGCATGGCACCGTGTACTAGATTCTGGTAACAAAAATACCTTTATACAACTTATCAAGAGGTAAATGATCAAATATATGCTGTTGTGATGAAAATATACGAACTACTAGCAATGTTAGCCTGCCAGACCAACACTATTGCACAAAATAATGTCACTCACACCCACACCTAAGTTATTGTAGCTAAATGTCTATGTTATTTGAAAGGATATACACTTCGTGATTACTAAGAGTCATGATTCATTCAAAATGTTAGTTTTCTATTAATCTATTTCACTGCAAAAAATTTGCTCTGGTAGGTCAGTGTTGTTATTAGTCCGCAGGTTTTCGTCATCCTAATATGTGTTTGATCAAAATTGATGATTTACCCTTTGGTGAATAGTAATAAGTAGCTTTTTTGAAGACTAAGCAGAATGCGACATCTGACATACACTTACACTGTCCTCTTTTCGATACTGGTTTACTTTATTTTGAATACAGAAGAAATATGATTTGCAGGCACAAAACTACGTGAGAGTAAGAGTCCTGTGTATGAAATAACTTAGAATCTTCTTTTTTTCCCATCTTTATCGACACGATATATGTTGAGAGAAATACAATGTTGTGTTAAATATAGTTTCTAATCTAGTTGTTTATTACAATTGACTAAAGAGTTATTTATAGATATGATGAATATAACGGAAGAATTTATTAAACAATGTTCATTGACACTTGGACAATTTGACAGTTATTCTGTTAATCTACTTGTGAAATTATTTCATCATCAAGATGCTTGTACACAATTAGTTGTTTTATCAAATAATTTAAAAGAAAAATTTGAAAATTTATTGACAATTAAAAAAGATCATCATGAAAAATATTATGATACACCATTAACAAGAATTGAATTAGCAACAATGATACATTTTAAAGAAAAATATTTATCTGAATTAATAATAGATAATGATAATAATCAATTAAAATCAAATATAAAATTTTCTATTGATAATGAATTAAGTTTAGCATATTGTTTTTTATTAGCACAAATTGATGATCGTTTATCACAACAGAAATTAAATGAATTAAAATTTTTATTAAAAATTCGACAACCTATTGATAATTTATATGATATCTATCAGAATTTAGGTGAAAAATTTCCAGAATTTTTTTCTTTATTAATTCAATGTCAATTTTTTGCACAAAAATTGGTTCTTGTTGATCAAACTATTCGATATTTTCAATTATTTATTCAAAGATATGAAGATTTTTTAATCACATTTGAAAAGCATTATAAATCATTATTATATAATGAAAATAATAATATACAAACGGATGCTATACTAAATCAAAATGATCCTCATGCAGTTTCATTATTTATGACGAAATTTTTATTTTCAAGTCGTGAACAAATAAAATCACCAATATCATCACTTGTAGAACAAGTTCAAAAAGCACCTATATCACCGCCACAACCACCACCACCTCCATCATCATCATCGAATGTGCCAGAAAAAGGTTTATGTGTAATAATTAATATTAAAGCATTTACTTCATCTTATGATATTCACACACCTCAACGAGCAGGATCAGATAAAGATGTCGATCTGATTAAAGTTATTTTTAATAAATTAAAATTTACAATATTAGAATGTAAATTTGATTTTACAAAAGATCATCTTGATAAAGCTTTAAATTATATTGATGATCAAGATGCATTTGGAAATTTTGATTGTCTTGTTATGTTTATTATGTCTCATGGACTTTTACATTCATTTTTTACAGCTGATTCAAAAGAAGTTATTATACGAGATATTGTAAAACGTTATGCTGATTCATCATCAACAACTATTTGGACTGGAAAATCACGCCTATTTTTTATTCAAGCATGTCGATCAGAATGGCCAGAACATTTGCAATGTAACCAACGTGAAGGTGTCACAAAAAATGATTTATCACCAAAAATGCTTGTTGCTTATTCTTGTAGTGCAAGCGAAGCATCAAAACGAAGTCCAACTACAGGGTCATCTTTTATTCAAGTACTTTGTGTCATGTTACTTCGATATAGTTATCATTTTCAAATTCAAAATATTCTCGAATGGACTTCTAAATTTGTTATTAAACGTGATGAACTTAGTGCACAACATAACAAACCAGTATCTATTCAACGACCAGAATATATTGAACGAGAATTTAATTCAAAATTTCGATTTTCAAATTATTGTTTATATGATACCTATCATTCATGGGATACTAAAAAAAAAATACCTGTACAAATTCCTTTGAGAATTTGGATAGAAATTTATGATTTAATACTTCATAATCCTATAATTAATCATTAATACTATGCTTTATATATATATATATGATTTTTTTTAAACAAATTTTTTGTATTTTTATTAGAAATGAAATTCATATATATGTAAATCTGACTTTTATGTTATATTTTTTTTTTCTAGTTAACTGAATTTTTGCATGCATGTATTTTGTTGAAATAAACAAGAGAATATAAACTGAAGTATAAAGATTAAAAAAATCTGATCTAATACATGTTGCAATTACGAAAACGTGTAGGCTAGTGACAAGACTGTGCTGCCATAGCAACATCTTACAACAAACATATAAGAACTAAGTAATATCATTTCTGACCTATGTCACACTTTTCGTCAGTATCAAATAAATTAAAGTGAAAGAAAAGTACAATGATTATCGAATAGTTGAGTAAAACGGATTTATCTTTACAAATATGCACTCTCTATTTGCTATGAATCCTGTTGAAATTGCTTGCATCCTTTTAAAATATGAATCATGCTGAATAATATTTTTATTTCGAAAACATTGGATTGTTCTCTGCTGGATACAAACATGGAATATCAATGGACAATCTTAAGATAGGAAGCTCATATTTATCTGCTAAGATCAAAGTATAGTATCTGTTCTCGTCAGTTGAAAAGCCGGCGCTGGTCTCATTGAGATCAGGCTCTTTCAAGTGGATTTTTAGACGTTGGTCAGCATTATTCAAGTTCTCTCGAGCCTGTGCCATGGATCGTCTCGACATTGCAATGCCGTCAAGTTTGGTCCACTCCTGATTCTTTCGGAAAACGAGAATCATATGCTAAATAAGACAGACAAATGAACAACAATGTTTCATGAAGGCTACATTAGGAACATCAGAAAACATTATCAGATAATTCAAAGATATAACTTTATGACATAATAGCAATTTTTTTGTATACTGGATTTAAGTACTTCATGATTAGAAGACCTTTTATATGTCTTGAATATTCGTTTTGTAACATTTTTTGAATTAATCCATTTAAAGCTATTCACTGTCCTTCAACTGATTGAGACATTATGTTTTATCGTACTGCAGATGAACTCAAATGATTATAAAAAGAGATAATAATCAATCAATGGCACGAAACCAGCGATTCTAATGGAAATCTAAAACTAAATATTTCTGTACACTTTTCTTTTACAAGTAGAGTGTATACAAGTGTACAAAAAAGACTTGTTTTAAATAACTTATTGAAAAAAAAAAGAAAGAAAAGTTCATCTTCTATCAGTTGAAGAAAAAAATTATCGATAATGAAAAAACATTGATAAGTGATAGATATATTTTTGTTCTTTTTCTCATAATATGTTCAAAGAGAGACTAAAACGTAGAAGTAACATATTCTAAAAAAACTGAATAGATTAGATGCGTTATTTTTCCTTTTAAAAATAAATTTAAGTATTTTGAAACTAATGTGCTATTTTGTTCATCAAAGTGTAATATGTACACTCCATTTTTCGAAACAAAGTATAAAACAATTTCTATATTGTGGGCAGCAAATGTTCTGTACATTTTAATTCTGCTTGGTACACCTGTGATCAGAAGCACTGCATAAAACTCAAGCTCAAACATATATTTGATTTCCAGAAATAAACCAATAGCATAAATTCTGAGTGCATTATCATAATTTTCGTCATTTAGATGTCCTTGCTGATTAGTGTTATACACTTAATTTTCTTGAACAATGGTTACGGTTTATTGTTTATCCGAAACGAAAAAAAAATGGATAGACTAGACGAAAATAGTATTAATGTTAGTCTATTTAAGTATGCGTTCCTTCTTTGTTTGTTTTCTTTTTTCATGTCGCGGTCGACGTCTATACATACATCCACTATGTTGCTTTTTAGATATAGATACAATCTTATTTCATCATAATGTGCAAGGCAAAAGAAAACGTAAGTATCTATCCAAATTTTCAACTATAATTATTATATTTCTTTTATTAATCTTGCAGTAAACGTCTGTTCGAATTTGTCAGAGACGTTTGCAAATGACGTTGATAGTCCAGAGCCATATAGCGCGTGAAAAACAACCTGTAAATAATTTAGTGAATACTTTGTTTAATTTTCTATCCATAGCAACAGATTAACTTTAACTCTCTAATTCAGAACCAAACATTATATCTTTTTTATCCAAAGATAAATTGATTCGGACATCACTATTTTTTAATTAGTCAATATTTAGAAAGCTACATGTTCTGTAATTTGAAACAAGAAAATCTCCTTTGTACAGATAGAATTCATCAAAATATTCGAAACATGAACGATTTTTCTCAACTGAGAAAGGGTGTGGGTGGGTGTGGGTGTGGATATGGGTGTGGATGTGGGTGTTTAAGGAGAGTATGCCCACATCCACATCCACACCCACGCACCCACCCACACCCACATCCACACCCACACCCACACCCGGCTAGCCCTAGAGACAAGCTTTCAAACAAAAAAAAAATTGTATATGTAATGAAGGGCCATGGAGACTTTTTGGCGCTAAGATGACCTATTTTCTGACCCTTGTTTGGTTCATATCTCCGTCAAACGTCAGTAAATCGAGCTGAAAATTTTACCATAGCCTCCTCACTTCAGTCCCAACATATGCTCCAAATTTCAGCCCATTTGAAGGTAAATGCGATGAGATCGGTTTTTGAGGTGGGGGGCCTTAAACGAATTCATTTCTAAGTGTCTGCATATTATTTTTATTCTTATGTTATATTGTTGTTTTTTCTTATCATCTACTTCATGTCGATATATCGAACAGCAACCTTTCATTTGAATATATATATATATTGTCATTTTTCTTCTTCTTTATAGAGTATGTCTCTAAATGGACAAATAATAATATCGTTGCATCTTGTTGATTTCTTTTTCTAAATTATTAGTCTGAAGGAGAAAATGTAACGGTATACAACAAAAAAAAAAGAAGGGATTGTTTTGTATCGACTGACAATTCTCTCATTGATGTTTTAGTATGAAGGAAGCCAGTATAGAGAATTGATCTAAAGTGTTTTTTTGAACATTAATTATACAATAATTTGCTTCATTTTAGTTTCAATATATTAAAAATTATTCAAATGAATAACACCAACAAAAGGTATATAAATTTTTATTTCTTTCAAATTCTTTCTTTTTTCTTGTCTGTATGTTTCAATTTTTGTTTGCATATACATACATCATTTCTTTTGTTGTTTTGATTTATTTATCAAGAGAAAAGACGAGAGAAAGAGAGGAAAAAAAGAGGAAAAATGAATGAAGTAAGATGTTCGTGATTGTCAAGGTTGGTTTATATTTATTTTCTTTGAGGTTTTGAATAATCATGATCATAATATTAAATTAATAAAACAAACAGATATAATAACTGGATCGAAGAAAAACTTATTACCAATCAACATTCATCATCACAAGAAGTATAAAAATTTATTTATTAAGAAATAGAAAATTATTATTATTATTATTCTTACATAATAGATTATAAATGAATATCATGAAGAATTAAGAATAAATTTAAAAAAAAATACAAATACAATGGAAAATATTATTCAACAAAATCCAATTTTATCTCAATCGAATCAAGATTCACGATTAAATCGTTCATTAGAAACAAGTCAAGTTGTTGCGGTTGCTGCATCTATTAATTTAAAAGTATAAAGTCTTTTGAAAATAATAGAATTTTTTTTCTTGTTATAAATTATGTACTTTTAAATATTATTGTTATAGAATCTTCTTTCTTATCAAGATGTTATGAATGCAATTGAACGTGATTATCATTTACATGAAGGACAAGAACGTGAAATAATTATGAAATTATGGCTAAAAGGACAAACAATGATTGCAATTTTACAACGTTTTAGATATTTATTACAAGATCTTAATATAGATGATAAAGATTTTTCTGAAGGATTAAAAGTTTGTATAAATAATATTCACAATAATTTATTCAATATTTACAAAAAAAAAAAAGATTTCTATTAATACATATTTAACTATTGTTTATTCAAAATATGATTAGATTTTTTTCTGCTACATAAAACATATTCATATTTTCTTAAACAAAAAAAAAAGGGTTATAACTAATATGTTTTTATGTATTCGAAATACATATATATATATATTTTTTTGTTGTACTGTTATTCTGAAGTATGTGTATGGGAATGAGATTTAATTTCTACATATTGTTATTGCATTCTTTAAACACTTGTAAGTTATCT